CTTTCTATGCCCCACACCCAGAGCCCTCTTTTCTTAGCGACCCTGAAGTTTTGAGCCAGTCACTGCTCGGGGAAAATCCCTACATCAATGAAATGTCAACTGAGTTCGTCTCGCTTGCTCCAGGGCACATTAGGCAACGTCTCCAGACATTTTTGTTGTCGCAAGTGGGTGAGCGGGGCAGGTATTAGTTTTCCCAACAAAGCATGGCTAGACTCCAAATGGCAACAACGCCAAGGTCAGACAGACCCCGGCTTCAGGGAATTGGTCTTGACCCAGGAAATCGAATTCACTGTGAGAGAACAAATGAATTAGAAAAGGTTATCTTCCCTCATTTAAAATATTGACTAGAATGTGCATGATAGCATTTTAATACACTTGGCCTCCGAGTGGTCACAGGGACACCAGACTCTTCAGTGTTTTTTTTGTTTTTTGTTTTTGTTTTTGTTTTTACAGAGAGGAAGGGAGAGGGATAGACAGTCAGAAACATCGATGAGGGAGAAACATCGATCAGCTGCCTCCTGCACACCCCCTCCTGGGGATGTGCCCGCAACCAAGGTACATGCCCTTGACCGGAATCGAACCCGGGACCTTTCAGTCTGCAGGCCGAGGCTCTACCACTGAGCCAAACTGATCAGGGCAGACTCTTTAGTTGTGAAAGGCAGTCACCAAGTTCCCAGAAGGAAAGGAGTCGCACCGTGTGCTGGGAAAGTGGGGAGTGGTCTAAATAATTGGAAAATAGCACTTCCTTTTAAAAAAAAAAAAAGTTTTTATTGATTTCAGAGAGGAAGGGAAAGGGAGAGGGAAACATCAATGATGAGAGAGAATCATTGATGGGCTGCCTCCTGCACTGGGGATCGAGCCCGCAACCCGGGCATGGGCCCTTGACTGGGAATCGATCCGTGACCTCCTGGTTCATAGGTCGATGAAAAGAAACAACTCGGGCTCCAACAGTTTCACAGCACCCCACACCTGCCTCTGTGTCCTCACTTATTTACACGTAGCCGCAGCACCAGGCCTGCACATAGTAGGGCCAGAGTGAATGATGACCGCTGTGGAGTGACGCTGCATGTGATGGCCTAAGACAGTGGTCGGCAAACTGCAGCTCTTGCGCCGCTTTGTTGACTGAGTTTGCCGACCACTGGGATAGGAGCTTAATCACAAGGAACAACAACAGCCTATAATTATTGGAATCGAGAGTCTAGGGCAGTGGTCGGCAAACTCATTAGTAACAGAGCGGCAAACTGAGGCTCGAGAGCCGCAGTGTGCTGACCACTGGCCTAAGAAGGTCTTCTTAGAGGAAACTCACCTAGGCCTGACTTATTTGTCAGTTCTTTTTTTTCTTTTTGGTTAGTCCTCACCCGAGGATATTTTTTTTCTACTGGTTTTGAGCGAGTGGGAGGGAGGAGAAGAGACAGAGAGAAACATCGATGTGAGAGACACACACTGATTGGTTGCCTCCTGTACCTGCCTGACGGGTGCCAGGGGTCGAGCCTCAACTGACGCCTGTGCCCTTGAATGAAATCAAACCTGAGACTCTTCAATCCGTGAGTTGATGTTCTAACCACTGAGAAAACTGGCCAGGCCTGTTCATTCATTTTTTTTTTTTTTAATGTGGGATAGGCCCAAGGGAATTTTTAGGGATTCTCAACCTACTCAATGCCAGGTCATGGGAAAAGTGCTGCTTCAAATCAGACTAAAAAGAAAAGCAGGAGTAGGAATTTTACAATCAATTTTATGTGTACTAATGAATACTATGTAAAGAATAAGGCCAGCCCAGCTGGTGTGGCTCAATGGTTAAACCTATGTACCAGGAGGTCTCAGTTCGATTCTGGGTCAGGGCACATGTCTGTGGGCTCGATCTCCAGTGTGGGGCTGCAGAGAGGGCAGCTGATCGATTCTCTCTCATCATTGATGTCTCTATCTCTCTTGCCCTCCCTTCTGCTCTGAAACCAATAAAAATATTTTTTTTTTACAAAAGAATTAAGGCCAGGGAGAGCTTATAAAATTAGTTTCTCTAAGGAAGGAACTATATACTTAATGGGAGACAGGTTACAGTTCAAACTTATTGCAAAATTATAATTTGACACTTTTTCAATATACCACATACCACTGAGTGGCCAGATTATTATGATCTATAATAATCTGGCCACTCAGTTATATATATTTATATATTAGAGACCTGGTGTATGAATTTGTGTATGGGTGGGGTCTGGCCAGCCTGGCCAGGGGGAGGGGACATGGGTAGTTGGTTGAACTCCTGGTTGAGGGGAAATTTGCATATTAGCCCTTTGTTATATAGGACCGTGGTCAGCAAACTGCAGCTCGTGAGCCACATGCAGCTCTTTGGCCCCCTGATTATGGCTCTTCCACAAAATACCACGGCCTGGCCGGGACCGGTTTGGCTCAATGGATAGAGCGTCGGCTTGGGGACTGAGGGGCCCCGGGTTCAATTCCGGTCAAGGGCACGTACCTTGGTTGCGGGCATGTCCCCAGTGGGGGGTGTGCAGGAGGCAGCTGATCGATGATTCTCTCTCATTGATGTTTCTAGCTCTCTATCTCTCTCCCTTCCTCTCTGTACAAAAATCAATAAAATATATTTAAAAAAAAAATACCATGGCCTGAGCAAGTCTATTTTGAAGAAGTGGCATTTGTTAGAAGTTTAAAAAATTTGGCTCTCAAAAGAAATTGCAATCGTTGTACTGTTGATATTTGGCTCTGTTGACTAGTGAGTTTGCCAACCACTGATATAGGATATACACTGAGTGGCCAGATTATTATGTGTTCAGAGATCATAGTAATCTGGCCACTCAGTGTATATTTTTAAAGGCAAGAATCTAGATATTTCTTTTTAAAAAAATATATTTTATTGATTTTAGAGAGGAAGGGAGAGGCAGAGATAGAAACATCAATGATGAGAGAGAATCATTGATAAGCTGCCTCCCTTGACTGGAATCGAACCTAGGACCCCTTTTTAAAAATATATATATTTTATTGATATTTTACAGAGAGGAAGGGAGAGAGATAGAGAGTCAGAAACGTCGATGAGAAAGAATCATCGACCAGCTGCATCCTGCACACCGCCCCCTCCCCCCGGGGGGATGTGCCCGCAACCAATGTACATGCCCTTGATCGGAATCGAACCTGGGACCTTTCAGTCCGCAGACCGATGCTCTACCACTGAGCCAAACCGGTTTTGGCCGAACCTGGGACCCTTCAGTCAGCGGGCCAATGCTCTACGCACTGAGCCAAACCCGCGAGGGCCACTTTTTCAATATTCAATGTGGACTACGGTCAGAAGTAAAACTTTGGGTTTTGAGTCTTGCCAGGATAGGCACACGGGATGTCCCAGTGATGCTTGAAGTGCCCGACAAGCATTATCTCAGGAAAGCATCAACTGGACCCCCCAGGCAGGGCCATTGCACAGAGAAGAGAAACCAGAGGCACAGAGTGCCTCAGCAGCTCAAGGCCACACAGCAGGCACGAGGCACAGCCTGGTGTCGGCAATGAAGACCAGTAAGAGCCCCGAAAAGGAAGGCGAAACTCAAGAAATAAGAATCAGCCCGGCCGCCTTGGCTCAGTGGTTGAGCGAGGATCTGTGAACCAGGAGGTCACGGTTCGATTCCCGGTCAGGGCACGTGCCTGGGTTTCGGGTTCAATCCCCAGTGTGGGGCGTGCAGGAGGCAGCCGATCCATGATTCTCTCTCGTCACTGATGTTTCTCTCTCTCTCTCCCTCTTTCTTCCTCTCTGAAATCAATAAAAACATATTAAAAACAAAAAACAAAAGAGATAGAAAAGAGCAGGTTGGTGGGGGGAAGCCCCACCCATCACCACTTAGAGATTCTCCCTCTGATGCCCGCCTACACCTTGGCAGATCTGGATACTGTCACTCAGGGATGCAGTACCTGTTCTTATTTCGGCTTTTCAAATCGTTTAATAACAACAGGACAACTGGGCGGACCCACAGACTGTATCCGATATCTGAGGATAAACTCACAGCCCCACAAAAACCGCTGTCTATTCAGACGGTGCACCCACCACATAACGCTGGCCGTCGTGGGGCCTGTTTGCAAACAGGCGGACCATCTCCCCACCTGCCCCTCAGTTGTACACACGGCCTGGTCACGGAGTTAGAGAGGGGCTCAGCTTACGTGGAGGGAAAGGAACCAGACAGAAAAGGGCTGCCCACAGCTGGATTCTCTCTCTCTCTCCCTCTCCTCCTTCACTCTCTCGGTCTCTCTGTCTCTCCCTCCCTCCCTCTCTCTTTCCCTCCCTCTACATTCCATGGTACCTGGCCACCATGATGTGTCCTGTGGCTGATGAGTCAGATGAGCGAGGGAATGAGCTTTCTGATAACAGCACCCCTGAGGGAGACACCCCACTCACACCCAGAACCGTGAGGAATTCTTAAGAAAATGGTCACCCTCCCCTGTGGGCATCTTTGAGGACAGAGGCTCGCAGGCAGGCGCTTACAGGTCATCGCAGAGACCCCGAGGGCGGAATTACCTCTGAGATCTTTGCATTCCTGGTCCACTCTCTCTCTCACACACACAGGCACACACTAACACAGGGGATCCTGCTCCATGCAGAGGGACGGTGAGTGAGCACTTTAGAGCGGGAGCTGGCTTTTACAACCCTTTCTGCTGACCAGACACAAGCGCTTCAACACCAACGAATCAGACCTCTTGGATCTGCTCCTCCAGTCTATCTGTTCCCCTGACTTCCGTCCACGAAGAAGTTTTCCTTGACCTTAAAAAGCACTCTGCCCAGGCCTTGGCCTCGGCTGATTCCCACCCAGAAGGGCTGACCAGGGCAACCGCCCATCGCACCCAAAACTCAGCACACGCTGCCTCCCGCCGCGGCCTTCACCCCGCAGAGAGGACCCCCCCCCAGGGCAGGCCCCCCGGGGCCAGGGCCGGAGCCCGAGGAGGTCCCGCAGCGGGCGGCGCGGCCGATCGCTGGCTGGCACCCCGCGCCCCGGGCACCCACGGGGCCCGCTCACCTCGGGCCGGCTGCGCTTCTGCAGCAAGTGCTCCAGGTAGAGGTCGGAGAGCGCGGTGCGCATGCTGCCCCCGCCCTCGCCCCCGCTCGCCTTGAGCGTCATCTTGCGGGAGCCGGGACGCTGAGACACAGGGACGCCGAGACCAGGGGTCGGAGCGAGGCTGCTGTGCAAGGGATCCGTGCCTGCGGGACGAGGGCGGCAGAGGCGGCGGAGGCGGCGCGACTGGGCCAGTCTCCACCCCCGCGGAGCCCCGCCCACCGCCGCCCTCGCCCCGCCCCTCGCCCCGCCCACGCCCGCCCCCCGCGGCGCTCTGCGCTGGCTCCCCAGCGCCACCAGGAGGCGCTGCTCCCCTCAAGGCCCCTGCGGCTAAATTCCCCAGGGGCTGGAAGAAAAACGACGCCAAGCAGTGCAGGGACCCCCATTCATTTAATTTTTAAAAATATATATTTTATTGATTTTTTACAGAGAGGAAGAGAGTTAGAAACATCGATGAGAGAGAAACATCGCTCAGCCACCTCTTGCACACCCCCAACTGGGGATGTGCCCGCAACCAAGGTACATGCCCTTGACCGGAATCGAACCTGGGACCTTTCAGTCCACAGGCCAACGCTCTATCCACGGAGCCAAACCGGTTTCGGCTCACTTAATTTTTGATTGAGCGCAAAGCCCATTCATTCCCTGGCCAAATTCCTGGGAGATCAGAAGGCGTCTCGGGGCTTCCACTGCCTCCCTCCGACTCCAGGCTCTCCCCATAAATGGATGCGGGTAGGGGACGTTGCGAAAATGCCTTGAGGGCTCCTGCATTGCTGAGCCGTGCTGGCCTGGGAGGCGCCTAGACTTTGCTGTCCAATGATCCAAGACCCGCTGGCCTCCTGGAGCAAACTGGTTTTTACCTGAATGGGCCACACCTTGTGCTGATGGCGCCACATTTTTGAGAGGCCAGCGGAAGCTAAAGGAGACTATATTCCAGCAGGATTCCATAGCTTCCTAACGACTGAAAGGTCCCAGATTCGATTCCGGTCAAGGGCATGTACCTTGGTTGCGGGCACATCACCGGTAGGAGATGTGCAGGAGGCAGTTGATCGATGATTCTCTCTCATCGATGTTTCTAACTCTCTATCCCTCTCTATAAAAAAATCAATGAAATAAATATATATTTTTAAAAAGTTTGAAGCCAGATCACCCACTTTTGTCTGCTAAGAACCTGAGTTCACATGATTGATGGCTCCCTTCCCCAAGATTGCCCTAAGGGACTACAGAAGGAGAGAGGAAAAGGGAGGGAGGGAGAGAGAGAGAGAGAGAGAGAGAGAGAGAGAGAGAGAGAGAGAGAGAGAGATATCAAAATTAGGAGTGTGATATTGGTTATTGGTGCAGGTATAGACTGAGCAAATGGATAGAGAACACAGCATGTGTAAATTGGTGGTGTATGATAGAGGTAGCATTTTATTTTATTATTTTTTAATCCTTACTTGAGGATATTTTTCCACTCATTTTTAAAATATATTTTTATTGATTTTTTACAGAGAGGAAGGGAGAAGGATAGAGTTAGAAACATTGATGAGAGAGAAACATCAACCAGCTGCCTCCTGCACACCCCAAACCAGTTTCAGCAAATAAAAATATTTTTAAAAAATTACAACTTAACAGGAAAAGAGTTCCACATTATCTTTTAAAATTTAACATGCATGTAACTTCCAAGATAAATTTTTTTTTAAAAAAATATATTTTTAGCCGGGACCGGTTTGGCTCAGTGGATAGAGCGTCGGCCTGCGGACTGAAAGGTCCTGGGTTCGATTCCTGTCAAGGGCATGTACCTTGGTGGCGGGCACATCCGCCGTGGGGGGGTGCAGGAGGCAGCTGGTCGATGATTCTCTCTCATCGACGTTTCTAACTCTTGTCCCTCTCAATTCCTCTTTGTGTAAAATCAATAAAATATATTTTTAAAATATGTATATATTTTTATTTATTTGAGAGGAAGGGAGAGGGAAAGAGAGAGAGACATTTCAATGATGAGAGAGAATCACGGATTGGCTGCCTCCTGCATGCTCCACACTTGGGGTTGAACCCCTAACCCTAGCATGTGCCCTGACCCAAGAACTGAACCCATGACCTCCTGGTTCATAGGTCGATTCTCAACCACTGAGCCATGCCAGCTGAGCCCAAGAGAAATTCATAAATATGTAGCACAGGGACCATGTACACCAAAGTTCATAGATATACTTTTGTTAATAGCAAAAACAACTCAAAGGCCCACTAACTTTGGTGTATTAACACAGTGAAATATTAATGAAGCAAGAAGAAAACAAATCAGAGATACATGAATATATAAAATACAGAAAAACCCTTCCTTCGTACCTTCCCCAGTTTGGGGGGTAACTTTCCAAGCCTTCCCCTATGCGCATACAAAATATTCAGAACCAGAGTTGCCTTGTTTGTCCCAAAAGAGAACCCGTAGAACGCATGGCTTTGCTCCTTCTCCCGAGCCAAATCTTTCTCCATTTCCCCCACCTCCCCAGGAAGCAGGCCTCCTTTGGGGACTGATCAGAGACAAGATTTTATAACCAGAAGATCAGTTTCTGGGTTCCTAGGAAAACAAAGATTGAAGCAAAACTGTCAAGGAAGGCACAGGAATTGATTTGCCAGCAGGTTTTGACTTCATCTTCCTCACTGGTCAGAGTTCACCCAGCTGGGTGTGAATTTCCTCATACCTTTGAGCTGGGTTCCTTTGGTCTTGGCTGTCAGTGGGGAGTTATATCCCACAAACCACAGTTCAGTGCCAAGTCCAGAGTCCGGAAGTCGTTAGGACTCAGAGCCTCCTCAGACTGAGTTCGAGGGGTATAAATTGGGTTTAATATTCCATAGTTATATGTTAAGTAACTACAGTGATTGATATCAATCCTTAAGAATAGTTTCTGTCTTTATCTCTTTCCCTAAAATCCACCCATTTGAAGTGAATAACTCATGCCCGGCTGGTGTGGCTCAGTGGTTGAGTGTCGACCTATGAACCAGGAGGTCTTGGTTCAATCCCCAATCAGGGCACATGCCCGGGTTGTGGGCTCGATCCCCAGTGTGAGGTGTGCAGGAAGCAGCCAGTCAATGATTATCTCTCAGCATTGATGCTTCTTTCTTTTTTTAAAAAAATTATTATTTGATCATCATTGATGTATCTATTTCTCTTTCCCTCTCCCTTACTCTTTGAAAGCAATAAAATATATATTCAACGATAAAGTGAACAATTCAAGTGCTTTTAGCATAATCACAGAGTTGTACAACCATTACCATTATCTATTATAATTTCAGTGCAATTTCAACATTCCCACACCCATCATCAGTCATTTCCCAGCCTCCTCCCCATGCTCCTGGCAACCACTAACTGGTTTTCTGCAGGACTACTAATTGAATCTACCACCAGGGGCAAAAAACAACAACAAAACAAAACAAAAAAACTCACCCTCGAAGTTTTATAAGTACAGATTGGCCCTTGCACTGGTTAGTTGCTGAAAGTCATACTGCCCAGGTGGCCTGACAAACTTTAAGTAGATAATTTAATTTCTTTTTTCCCCCCTAAAATATATTTTTATTAATTTCAGAGAGGAAGGGAGGGGGAGTGAGAGATAGAAACATCAATGACAAGAGAGAATCATTGATTGGCTGCCTCCTGTAAATCCCCCACACTGGGATTGAGCCCACAACCCCAGCATATGGGGGGCAAAAAAATTGGGAGGCAACCCAATCGATGTCTCTCTCACATCGATGTTTCTCTCTGTGTATCTCTCTCCCTCTCTTCCATTCTCCCTAAAAATCAATGAAAAAATATTCTCGGGTGAGGATTAGCAAAACAACAACAAAAGTATAAAGGTATTGCCAAAACCGGTTTGGCTCAGTGGTAAAGCGTCGGTCTGCGGACTGAAAGGTCTCAGGTTTGATTCCGGTCAAGGGCATGTACATTGGTTGCGGGCACATCCCTGGTAAGGGTTGTGCAGGAGGCAGCTGGTTGATGTTTCTCTCTCATCGACGTTTCTAGCTCTCTATCTCTCTCCCTTCCTCTCTGTAAAATATCAATAAAATATATTTTTTCAAAAGTATGAAGGTATGAAAATTGGGAAAGAAGCAACAAAATTTTTATTATCTGCAATTATTTATTGTCTTTATAGAATATTTGAAAACCTACAGATAAATTATTAAAATTGTAAGCACTATTAATAAGGTTGCTGGCTAGAATCATTATGCAGAAATCGATTGCATTCCTGTATACCAGCAACACACAGTCAATATAATTGAAAAAACACCATTCATTACAACATCCAGAATAATCAAATACCTAGGAATGTATCTGTCTACACAGAGTGTATGGAGAGAATGATAAAACTCTGTTGGAATCCATTAAAGAAAAGCTAAAAAAAAAAGGAGAGATAAGTCATGTTCGTGGTTTGGAAGACTCTGTTTTATGATGTCAGTTCTCCCCAAACTGGCCTGTAGACTCGATGCGAGTGCAATAAAAATCTCAACAGATATGTTGTGTGAAACTTGACACTCTAATTTAAAAACATGTGTGGAATTGTAAACAAGAAGAGCAAAAACATACTAGAAGAACAAGGTGGGGAGATCTGCCTTCCTGATAGCAAGACCTGTAATAAAGTTATGGTAATTAAGAGAGCTTGATAGAGGCAGAAAAATGAACAAATAGGCCTGTGGAACAGAAGAGAGCTTAGAAGCAGATTTATGCATACTATATCCTATATAATAAAGAGCTAATATGCTAATTAGACCAAACAGCCAATGACCTTCAGGATGTCATTCCGGACAAAGTTGTGGCAGCTGGGGCTGAGGCAGAGGCAGTTAGGGGTGATCAGGCAGGCCAAGTGGTTAGGGGTGATCACTCAGGCAGGCAGAGGGGTTAGGGGTGATCAAGCAGGCAGGCAGGCCAGCTGTTAGGAGCCAGCAGTCCTGGATTGTGATTGGGATCCCTGTGGGATCAGGCCTAAACTGGCAATCGGACATTCCCCAAGGGGACCTGGATTGTGAGAGGGTGCAAGCCAGGCTGAGGGACAACTCCCCTCCCCGCTCATGTGCACAAAGTTCGTGCACCGGGCCTCTAGTGTGTGTGTGTGTGTGTGTGTGTGTGTGTGTGTGTGTGTGTGTTTCCATTAATTTTTTTAGAAAAAATGGAAGGGAGAGGGAGAGAGGGAGAAACATTGATGTGCGAGAGACACA